AAATTCCTAAACACACACTCACTACCAAAATTCATACCGGAAAAGATAGAAAACCTGAACAGACCCATAACAAGTGAGGAAATTGAATCAGTTATCAAAAATCTCCCAACAAATAAGAACCCTGGGCCCGATGGCTTCCCTGGGGGATTCTACCAGACATTTAAAACAGAATTACTACCCATTCTTCTCAAACTATTCCAAAAAATAGAAATCGAAGGAAAACTTCTGGACTCATTTTATGAAGCCAGCATCACTATGATTCCCAAGCCAGACAGAGACCCAGCAAAAAAGGAGAACTACAGGCCAATATCCTTGATGAATATAGATGCAAAAATCCTCAACAAGATACTTGCAAATCAAATTCAACAGCACATAAAAAGAATTATCCACCAAGATCAAGTGGGATTCATTCCTGGGTTACAGGGCTGGTTCAACATTTGCAAACCAATCAGTGTGATACATCACATCAACAAAAGAAAAGAGAAAAATCATGATTCTGTCAATAGATGCAGAAAAAATACTTGACAAAATACAGCATCCCTTTTTAATAAAGACCCTCGAGAAAGTCGAGATAGAAGGAACTTATTTAAACATCATAAAAGCCATCTATGAGAAGCCCTCACATAACATCATCCTCAACGGGGAAAAACTGAGAGCTTTCCCCCTGAGATCAGGAACACGACAGGGATGTCCACTCTCACCACTGTTGTTTAACATAGTGCTGGAAGTCCTAGCATCAGCCATCAGACAACAAAAGGACATAAAATAGGCATCAGAATTGGCAAAGAAGAAGTCAAACTTTCACTTTTTGCAGACGACACGATACTCTACATAGAAAACCTGGCAGACTCCACCAGAAGCCTACTAGAACTGATCCAAGAATTCAGCCAAGTTGCAGAGTACAAAATCAATGTACAGAAATCGGTTGCATTTTTATACACCAATAATGAAGCAACAGAAAGAGAAATCAAGAAACTGATCCCATTCACAATGCACAAAAAAACCATAAAATACCTCGGAATAAACCTAACCCAGGATATGTTTGATGAAAACTATAGAAAACTTATGAAGGAAATTGAAGAAGACACAAAGAAATGGAAAAACATTCCATCCTCATGGATTGGAAGAATAAATCTAGTTAAAATGTCATTACTACCCAAAGCAATCTACACATTCAATGCAATCCCAATCAAAATTGCACCAGCATACTTCTCAAAACTAGAACAAACTATCCTAAAATTTGTATGGAACCACAAAGGATCCCAATAGCCAAAGTAATATTCAAGAGGAAAACCAAAACGGGAGACATCACCATCCCAGACTTTAGCCTCTACTACAAAGCCGTCATCATCAAGACAGTACGGTATTGGCACAAAAACAGACACATAGACCAATGGAATAGAATTGAGAACTCAGAATTGGACCCAAAAGTATACAGCCAACTAATCTTTGACAAAGCAGGAAAGAGTATCCAATGGAAAAAAAGACAGCCTCTTTAACAGATGGTGCTGGGAATCACAGCAATTTCTTACTTGACACCTCCCCAAAAGCAGGGGAATCAAGAGCAAAAATAAACGATTGGGACCTCATCAAGATTAAAAGCTTCTGCATGGCAAAGGAAACAATCCATAAAACTAATAGCGGACGGAATGGGAAAAGATAGTTCCAAATGACATCTCAGATAAAAGGTTAATATCCAAAATCTATAAGGAACTCACCAAACTCCACACCCGAAAAACAAACAATCCAGTGAAGAAATGGGCAGAAGATATGAACAGACACTTCTCCAAAGAGGACATCCAGATGGCCAACAGACACATGAAACGATGCTCAGCATCCCTCCTCATCAGGGAAATACAAATCAAAACCATACTGAGATACCACCTCACACTGGTCAGCGTGGCTAAAATAAGCAAATCAGAGGACTCTCGATACTGGCGAGGATGTGGAAAAATGGGCACCCTCCTACACTGTTGGTGGGAATGTAAACGGGTGCAGCCCCTCTGGAAAACAGTGTGGAGGTTCCTCAAAAAATTAACAATAGAACTCTCCTAAAACCCAGCAATAGCACTGCTAGGAATTTACCCAAGGGATATGGAATGCTGATGCATAGGGGCACATGTACCCCAATGTTCATAGCAGCACTCTCAACAATAGCCAAAATATGGGAAGAGCCTAAGTGTCCATCAACGGACGAATGGATCCAGAAGATGTGGTTTATCTATACCATGGAATACTACAAGGCAATGAGAAAGAATGAAACCTGGCCATGTGTAGCAACATGGATGGAATTTGAGGATGATATGCTAAGCGAAATAAGTCAGGCAGAGAAGGACAGATACCATATGTTTGCATGTATTAGAAGGATTAGGAGGAACTTAACGGAGGACCATGGGGGAGAAAAAGGGGGAAAATAGTGGGGGAGAAGGAGGGAGGCAAACCATGAGAGACTTGAATGCTGAGAACAAACTGAGGACTGATGGGTGTGGGGGGCAGGGAGGTGATGGGCATGGAGGAGGGCTCTTGTGGGGATGAACACTGGTTGTTCTTGGAAACCAAGAACTTGACAATAAACTATTTATTAAAACAAGTTTATAGATTATGAATTAAAAATACATGAATCTTGTGTTTTTCTTTTTTCTTAGAATTAATTTTGTTCTGTGAAATGAGGGTCTAAATCTTCCTTATTTTATTTAAATTAAAAAAATTTTTTTAAATTTATTTCTGAGAGAGAGAGAGAGAGCGAGCAGGGGAAGGTCAGAGAGAGAGAGGGAGACACAAAATCTGAAGCAGGCTCCAGGCTTTGAACTGACTGTCAGCACAGAGCCCGACGTGGGGCTCCAACCCACGAACTGCGAGATCTTGACCTGAGCCAAAGTTGGACGCTTAACCGATTGAGCCACCCAGGCACCCCTAAATCTTCCCTATTTAAAAAAATTTTTTTTCATGTTTTATTTATTTTTGAGAGACAGAGCATGAATGGGGGAGGGACAGAAAGAGAGGGACACACAGAATCTAAAGCAGGCTCCAGGCTCTGAGCTGTTAGCACAAAGCCCAATGCGGGGCTGGAACCATTGAATTATGAGATAATGACCGGAGCCGAAGTTGAATGCTTAACTGACTGAGCCACTCAGGCACCCCTTTTCCCTCTTTTAAAATAAAATTTATTTTATAATCCCCCCTCCATTTATTTTTTTATGCTTGTTATCTTGTATGAAATTCATTGAACTATGATGATTTGTTTCCCGGTCTATAGTTGTACTGATCTCTGTTTCTTTTTCTTTGGTGTATTCTACATTATATTTTATTATTCTGTTCTGTAATAGATTTTTTTTTTTTTTTAAGAGAGCAAGGGAGGCGTAGACAGGGAGAGAGAGAATCCCAAGCAGGCTCTGCACCATCATTGTGCAGCCTGATGTGGGGCTTGAACCAGTGAACTGTGATATCATGACCTGAGCTGAAACCAAGAGTTGGACACTTAACCTACTGAGTCACCCAGGCGCCCCTATAATAGTTTTCTTTTTTAATGTTTTAAAATTCATTTTGAGAGAGAGTGCAAGCGAGGGAGGAGTAGAGAGAGGGAGAGAGAGAATCCCAAGCAGGTTCCATGCTTAGTGTAGAGCCCAATACGGGGCTCGATCCCACAAACCTGTGAGATCATGACCTGAGCCAAAATTAAGAGTCGGACGCTTAACCAACTGAGCCACACAGGTGCCCCTGTAATATATTTCAGTATAGTGTAGTGTACATCCTAACACAGTGGTTCAACTTAGCAATTATATAGACCAGAATGAGAATTTGAACTCTTTGACCACTCATTTATATAGTCTCATACCTAACTTCTCTGAGTCTTGGTTTCTTCTTCTGTTTAATAAGAGGAAACTATGTGTTTCATAGAATTGCCAAGAAATTAAAACTGTGTGTAGTACTTCTTACTGAAACAGGTTTAAATGTTCTTGGATCTAGCACACTTTACCAAGTAACATGGAGCCTGCTTGGGATTCTCTTTCTTCTCCTCTCTCTTTCCCTTTCCCACTTGCTTGCTCTTATTATCTCTCTCTCAAAATAAATAAACATTAAAAAAAAAGAATCTTCTTTCCTTCTTTATATTGGTTATTGATGGTGGTAGGGTATGTTTTGATTTTTCTATTTCTGTCTTCTGACTTGTTATTTTGGTAGATTCTGACAGTTATTAATTAGTTAATTCTCTCAGATTTTTTAGTGCAGAATCATATACTTTACAAGCAACAACATTTTCCTTATTTCTTTCTATTAGTTACAGTTTTTATTTGGTTTATTCTTAATTGCATTGCTCAAAATTTCCTATGTTTACTATTGTGATAGATGAAGCTATTTCATTTATCATTTTAATTGTGTTGTGGAATCTGGAGAGGGTACAAGTTCAGCTTGGTTTAATGTTTTTTCCTAAATTTCTTTTTACTATTGTAGGTCCTTAGATGTCATGAATTAGGGTGTAGACATTTAGTTTTTATTGGCCTAAAATAAAAATTTGCTGCCACTGAAAAAGTCCTACATTTATTTTCTATCTTAAAAATTATAGTAAAATATGCATAAAATTTACAATTTTAACCTTTAGAAAAAAGTCCTACATTTTTGGTAATCTTCAGATATACCTACTTCCTTGTTGAAATGCAATTCTTAACATTTGATCATGAATAATTAATAACTAAATCCCCTTAGTGTCTGAAGCATTTTCCAAGTGAATATATGTGGTATGATAGGATGAATACCCAAGTATTGTTACTTTGTTTTAGAATGTGTGTTTATACTTTTACATTATGGTTATTAAAATTGTCAGGGAGGTCAACATGTTAAAGTGATTATTAATGAAAAGGTGATTCACTGTACTTAAAAAGTAAAAGAGAAAATTCTGTTAATTAGGAGTTATATATTTAGTGTCAATATTTTACCTAGTATTTCATACTGATCTTCAGAGTGTATGGTTTTGAAATAATTATCATGTCTTACATGTATTCCAGGTCACCATATCATCAGCCAACCTCTTACAGGCCAAGATTACTGCTATCTGGAGAACGAGGCTCAGGTCAAACTTCTCACCTTGCTCCAGCACTTTTGCACACCCTAGAAAAATTCTCTGTGCACAGACTAGATCTCCCAGCACTTTATTCAGTTAGTGCCAAAACACCTGAAGAATCATGTGCACAGGTAGGTTTGTACCATATCAGAGTACTTCCAACTTTCTTAATTGTTTATATCTCGGTAGTGATTATAAAGCCTTTTCAAAGAACAGAAATGTGAATCTTAACTTTTTGTTAGTTACTCATTAGCATTCTAATATTAAGGCCAAGGATCCTTTTGAGGTATAACATGTTTAAAACTGAGCTTATTGTTTTCCCTATATTTCATTATTTTCTGAAATTTTAATATCCTGTTATATTAAAGTTTTATTAAACATTGTAGAAAGGGAGTTTCTTTTGCCTTTATCTGACCCTCTTTTCAATGCTGTGGTTTCAGTCTTTCTAGACTTCTGTGTGTACTTAGAGACTTTCTATATGTAGAAGGGGAAAATTAACGTAGAAAATTGAGAGCAATTTAAAAATTATATATATTTCTATCAGTAGTCAAGTGTGTGTGATATTTGATTTTTAACTACTTTATACACGCTTGTTTGTGAAATGCAGAGTTCTGGTGCAGCTGTTTTAATATATATTTGAATTTATTGTAAGTGTATCATGTTGGAGCAGGTTAGGGGAATGTGACTTTCTACTTTGATATTTAGCTTACTTTTAGAGATTACATGACCAGAGTAGTAACACTTGAGAGCATTGCACATAATTATGTTGTTTTTTGGGGGTACATTTTATAACTATTTAATACGTACACATATACTACCTAATTGAAAACCATTCTGTACTTTATAGAAAGAAAAAAAAAATATATATATATATTTCGTGGTCCACAGCATTGGTTTCATCTCTTTTTTACTTATTTACAGTTGTCTGGTTATCAACATCCTAGTAGCATTCACCACTTACAAAGCCCTATTTAAAAGTTTTTTTTCCCCCTAAACTCATGGCTTAAATAAAAACTGTATACCAGTAATTTGCTCCAAGTTTTATACATTTAGCTCATCCTGGCTGGGAATGTTTCCCAATAATGTTGATTTATACGTTTGTTCATATTTTTTCTTTTCAGTGAGATAAACCATGCAGTTTGTATGCAAGTATGAGAATTTCACAGTACCATTAAAAGCAAATCCAGTGGAGAAAGAATCTAAATAGACACTAACTGTGGAAGAAGAAATTGAGTGTCAAAAAGCACTAAATACAGATAGTTTCATGGGTGAATTCTTTTAATCTTAAGGATAAGATCATTTTGATGCTAAACTGAAATACAGAGAAAAACAGACTAATCTCACTTGGGCAATGGTGGTAAAGTAAATATTACAAATGGATTCTAGTAGCACATCAGAAGAGTAATATATGATTATTAAGGCATGCAAAATTGATTCAGTTAGACATTGAGAAACAAAAATTTTGGAACAGACACATTGAATTTATAAATATTTACCTGTGCCGTGATTGTATATTTGAAAACTTTTTAAGATCTACTGAAAAATTATTAACAACAATAAGATTTGTATATACTTTCAAATTTAATATTGTAAAATAAATAAGTTTTCTTTTATATACCCAGTAACAAGTTAGAAGTATGATGGAAAAAATGGTTCTATTTAAAATAGCAACTAATTTTACTTAGGAATTAAATAATTAATTTGCAGTGTCTAAAAGAAAACTAAAAATTTAGTGAGGAGTACAGTTGAATAAATTAAAACAACACCTTGTTTTTAATGACTATAATTCAAAGTAAGGACTCAGTCAAACTGCATATTGATTCAAATATCAGCTACTTTACTTATTGGTTGTAGCCTTGGACAAATTGCTTAACTTCTTTTTGAGACTTAATCTTCTCATCTATGAAATGAAGGTAGTGATACTGCATAAGGTAGTTGTGATTATTAAAATCAGCTCATCCAATGGGGCTGGCATATATAGTACCCGGTAGCTCTTAACTGTCATATTTATCACTACTACTACAGCTTCCATTCACAGCTGAGGGCTGATAAGGCTCAAGATTGGGAAGCTGTGAGCTCTTTTCTAAATTAGTGTATAAATTAAGTTCAGTCTCAAGTATAATATTCCCAGAATTTAAGAGGAAAAGTTAAAAAAAGTGCTTTGAATTTCTTCTAGAAAATAAATATGAGCATAGCAAGGAGAGTTCTGGAGGAAATAGTATAATAAAGGGAGCCCTACCAGATTTTTAAAGATGTAACATAGTAATAAAGGTGAACATAGTAATAAAGAATATGTAAGTGTACAGGGATAGATAGACAAAGTAATAGAAGAGAGAATTAACCCTGGGCCTATGTAGAATGAGAATTAGTATCTGATGATGATTAGCACTTGATGATGGTAAGGATATGATGATGATGACGGCAACGATATTTGATATCATGGAATAGATTATTAAATAAATGCTCTTTGAAAACTGATTTTATGAGGGGGAAAAAGAAAAAAACAAAACTGGATTTCCTATCTTCTTTTGGTAGCCCCAGCATAAATTCTGTATTGTCAATGGAACTGTAAAAGGGGAATTCACAAGGTCAATATGTTTATTATATTGAGTATGAGAAAGTAGTTTCTAAGCAGTGAACACAAACCAGAAAATATAAAGATATGAACAAATTTGACTTTATAAAGTTTTAAATTATACATGGCAGAAATAATTATTTTAATAAAATTAATAGACACAACCTGGAAAAAAAGCATGTTTGTAACACACATGTCCAGGATAAGTTTCTTTTTTTTTTTTTTAAATTTATTTCTAGGAGAGAGAGAGAGACAGCATGAGCAGGGAAGGGTCAGAGAGAGAGGGAGATACAGACTCTGAAACAGGCTCTAGGCTCTGAGCTGGCAGTCAGCACAGAGCCCGATGCGGGGCTCGAACCCATGAACCGTGAGATTATGACCTAAGCGAAAGCCAGACGCTTAACCGACTAAGCCACCCAGGCGCCCCCAGGATAAGTTTCCTAAATATAGAAAAATATGTTAAACTCAGTAAGAAGAAAGAATGCCAACCTAATATAAAAATTTGCAAAATAGCATGCCATTTATAGGAAGAAAAAAAATAGAAAAAACAACCAATAAAAGTTTGAAAAAATTCTTAGCCTCACAGATGAAGAAAATGTAAATTAAAGCAACAGAATACTATTTTGAAGCAACTGTCTGGTTTGTAAAAATAAAAAGCTTGATGATGCCTGGTGATTTTAGAGTGTAGGTTGACATCATTAAAAATTTTTTTTTAAGTACATATGCCAGGAATTTTACACTAAAAATTTTTCCTAAAGATGTGTTAGCTCTAAATAGTCACTGCTAAATGTACAAGGACATTTATTACAGCATTGTATAGAATTGCCAAACTAAGTAAGACCAACAAATTGAATGTCTTTTAATGATGGGTGGGCTGTGGTAAATTATGGTATATCCTTACATAATGTGAGGTCATTAACAAGAATGAGGTAAATTTACATAAGGCTGATATGGAGATATGAAGAAGATATTTGTGAAAAAAGCAAGTTGTAAATCAGTCTATCAAAATAGGATCAAAATAGGATCTTTGTGTAAAAAAAAAACCTTGAAAAGATATATTCATATATATATTCATGCTTTAATGTATAAATTTCATATAGAGCTGTTAATAATATTGCTTTGGCTTCAGAGGAAGGAATTTAGAGAATTGGGGAATGAGTAAAAACTTTGTCGTTTTAGTTTACACTCTGCTGCACAGTTTAGATTTTTTTTTGACATGCGTATTTGACAGTATGAAGCAAACTAAAGAAAGTCATTCTGAAAAAGGAACATTTTCAGAGTGAGAGGATTTTCTGTGTTTAGCTGTTCTTTATGTCTAATATGTGTATGTACATGTTCATAAATCCATTATTGAATATTAGGTGAGGAGATACTTAGGAGCCATTTTAGTAAATCATATGTTGGTATTACTGGGATACTGGGAGTTTTCTGCATTCTACTGGGCATCATTGGGCCAAATTTGAATTCTAACTGTGTATGTTTTGGTCTCTTTCTCATTTCTTGGCTTTTACTTTTTCATTCTGTTCTTGGGGAGGGAAAAAGAACAAAAACTTAAGATTTATTGTTTTGGTTGTATTTCACTACATTTAGTACATCAAGATGTCTTCGATTCCTTGCTTTTGCCTACAAGATTGTGGGGTTGTGAGTGATGCTTATTCTTGAGTGACCACACCTGGGTGTCCAGTCTATTCAGGGACCGAGTCAGAATTTTGTAGATATGGTAGCTGAAGCTCAGACTTCTTCTGAACATTGGCCAGAGACCACATTAACTCTCTTGGTTAATCCCTGATTATTTGTATCTTAAGTAAATATTTAAAGTTATTTTAAATTCGTAAATATATTACTGTCTCTTCCCCAGATTTATTTATTAAATGTTTATTTTTTATTAATTTTTTTAACATTTATTCATTTTTTGAGAGACAGAGAGAGACAGTACAAGTGGGGGCAGGACAGAGAGAGAAAGAGAAACAGAATCTGAAGCAGGCTTCAGGCTCTCCAGGCTGTCACCACAGAGCCTGACATGGGGGTCGAACTCGTGAACAGTGAGATCATGACCAGAGCAGAAGTCAGATGCTTAACTGATTGAGCCACCCAGGTGTTCCAAATGTTGGTTTATTTTTGAGAGAAAGAGAGAGAGGGAGGGAGCAGGGGAGGAGTAAGAGAGCAAGGCGAACAAGGATCCAAAGCAGGCTTCTGTGCTGCAGCAGAGCCCAATGTGGGTCTTGAACCCAGAACTGTGAGATTATGACCTGAGCTGAAGTCGGACGCTTAACCAACTGAGCCTCCCTGGCGTCCCCTAAAAACTTATTTAAAAGGAGATTATTATATAATAAAACTGAGGACTTTTTCTTTCCTTTATTTTAAGTTTATTTATTTTGAGAGAGTGGGAGCGTGAGTGCGTGCATGCACGAGTTGGGGAGGGGCAGAAAGAGGGGACAAAGAGAATCCCAAGTAGACTCCTCACTGTTAGTGCAGAGTCCAGTGCGTGGCTCGAACCCATAAACTGTGAGATCATGATCTGAATTGAAATCCAGAGTCTGACACTTGACTGAGACA